CTGGTTTTCCTTAGATAGAAAACTTTGAATCAATTTAAATGGACGATCTGGTGAACTGGAAAGTGCCTTGAGATGACATGATGTGAATTGGCGCTATAGAAATAAACTGAATTAAACTAATGCAGAACTTTTATGGAAATGTGATCAGTGGAGAGTCTTTATTTTCATTATTTAACCAGCAAAACATTTCAGCTGTTCAACAGAAAATCACATTTAGTAAATCAAGCCAGATTCAAGAAAAGAAAAACCTGCAAAGTAGCCCTGAACTTTGTTTGGGATTTCCAGGATGGTTTATTCTGAAGCAGTCCATTAGTTTGTTGACTCATAACTTTTTTTCTGGTTTAGGTTCTTTTCATGAGAAAACTAAAAACAAACCAAACCATTCACTACAAAGCATTTGTGAGAACACAGATTGTGTTTATTGGCTGGATGTGTCTGGGCAGGAACCCAGATGTAAACACAGGAAGCAGCTGCTGTCTCAGCTGATGGAAAGATCAGATTGTATCATCCAAACATGAGTTAGTTTCACCTTACGTGTGAAAACACCTTTAGGCTTTGCTCAAACTGCAGCTCTTTAGGCTAAATTCCGATTTTTTTTGTCAGATCCAATTTTCTTTGTGTGGCTTTTCACATAACTGCCTCAAATTGTGTCCCTGAATATGGAGGACCAACTCTGCCATTTTTAAAAATAAATACAGAAATAAATAAGTAAGCATACAATTAATTGCCGGCAAAAATACAATAAACAGTTAAATGTAGGTAGAAATTAAATCATACGGTGAGAAATAAATGTATGAATCTCTTTTAATTAGCTTCTTTATTGATTTGCCTTTGTAAAAATTACCTTTTTTTATTTATTGTCCTTTATAATCTTCAACTTCATTTACTTATTACTTATTTTTTTAAGTATTTATGTGCATGTGATAATATTTTTGTCTGTTTTATTCTTCCTTTTACCCTATTTATTTCTTCCTGTCATTTTTACATTTTTGTCTGCATTTCTGCCTCATTATGTAAATGAGGAGGGGGGAGGGTGTCTAAGAGTGTCAACTTCTGCCCATTGGTTGGTGAGCATTTTATCGCATCTGTAGAATCTACAGGAGGAGAGGAGAGTCTGAAGTAGAGTCTGAAGTTAGTGGCCGTTTCTCAATTCAAAAGAAGGTGAGCACAGACTCATGTTCTCACCAAGTACGTTCTTGAGCAGAACCCTGGAAAGTCTGGACTCTGGGAGAACTGGAGCACGCAGCATAAATCTGGGTCAATTGGAACAGAAGCATACTGATGACATCACCCCACTCTCGGCTAGTCACCTCCTGGTATTAATAGTCTCTGGATGATAATAAATTCTGACTTTTTCATTTATTGGAGGAATAATAATGAACACAGTAAGATAAACACAAATCAAATGAACATTTTGCAAAATAAAAGAAGATAATCTCCAACAGAGCCAGCGGTCCTTCACACACGGCTAAGTAGAGAGAGGGCTGCTGCAGACGGGCTAACGTTAGCCCTGGCTACTGCAGACGGGCTAGCGTTAGCCCTTGCTGCTGCAGACGGGCTAACGTTAGCCCTTGCTGCTGCAGACGGGCTAGCGTTAGCCCTGGCTACTGCAGACGGGCTAATGTTAGCCCTGGCTACTGCAGACGGGCTAACGTTCCTTGGCTACTGCAGACGGGCTAACGTTAGCCCTGGCTACTGC